ACCATACTTCACCGCAGTGGTCAGTGCGGGTTGATGAAGTGGGGTGTTGATCCTCAAAAAATATTTGGGGGGGGGGGGGGGGGATATCACTCGCCCGCCTGCAATTCGCCATGTCCGGGAATCGAATTCGGGTTGTGCGGTTTTTTCGTTTTGTTCCAGGCGCACAGCGCAATGCGCTAACCACCCGTGCCACCGCTCCGCCAAGTCGTACTCGATAGAGCAGCGGTCCCCAATGTTTTGGGCACCAGGGACCGGTTTCGTGGAAGACAATTTTGTTCACGGACCGGGGCGGGGGGGGGGGGGTCATCATTGGGTCTTTCCCTCTTTTCAAAGAAGCTCTCCAGCGACGTTTGTGTTCGACTCATTGTGGCTACTAGGGGTTAGAGCTTGTGGGCTCACCAACACCGTGACTGAGACGAGTGCGCAGTGCGGGAGAGAGGAGCGGACGGAAGTGGTGAATAATACAACAATGGGGGCGGGTTCCACGCGCGGACTCACCGCTCTCACCTCCTGCTGCTGCGCGGCCCGGTTCCTAACAGGCCACGGGCCGGTCCGTGGCCCGGGTGTTGGGGACCCCTGCTCTCGAGCACTCTTCCTCCTCCTGCGCTGTTGCGCGCCGTGCGCTCGAGTCGTCGAGCCGCGCCGAGCCAGCAGCGAGGGCGCACAAGAACGCGACACCCGCGGCACGACCGGAGCGCACAGACACCAGATAGTTCGTGACTCACCGCTGTAACAATAAACAATCAGAAACTCGTCATTTCTTTGAAAGCGCGGCTTAAATAAATAAATGAACGCCGAATACGGAGCGCAATCTTTCGGTGTCTTAGCGCGACACGTTTCAGACACTAATTGCGGGGTGGTGTTGTGTTTCACACGGTGGTTGTCACGTCATGTATCTATTTTTCTCCTAACTTCACGTTATTATTTCAAATGCGCGGCTTCTGTCAAGTGTAACTTAGCGCATAGTCAGGCTGGACGCCGTTAACCGCTGTGCACCGCTGTAACTTCAACAGAAGTTTTCGCACGCGATTGCAGCTTGTTGCGGAGAGGGAAGTTTGCTTTTAAGCACTCACATCCACAGTAAAATAAATGCTTTTGAGACTTTTTATTTGACAGGCCCCTTCGTAATGCTGCGTTTGCATGACGAATTTTCGGAGACTTCACGGAATATTTGGTCAAGGTCCACAAAAGTTAGAGCACGAAAAGGACACTCCAATCACCGAGAGTGTCTTAAAAGCACAACCCTCGTAAGGAGTGCATTAAATATGAGAATAGGGTTTCCACTTTTTTTACGCGCTTTTTATTATTACACGCTTTCTATTAACTCAATTTTTACTCACTTCCCAATGTGGTATCGACTGCAAACTTGGTATACTTATGTCATACTGATGACAAGACTATATTCTATAATTAAAAATAAAATATATATTTGAAACAATATTTTTTATATGTTATGTTTCGGCTTGGGTCTAATTGTCCACGTTCAACTGACGTTGGCTGTAAATCACCACGGAGCCCTTACGTTATGGCAAGCTTCGGGGCCACTTCCTCGAGTCGTGGAGTTCTTCCATTACTAGTACGGTACATTTCATTAAAGGGTGTTTAAAAAAAAATCTTAAATATTACTTATTTCTGGCAACAAAACAGGTGTTAAGATGTTAAAATACCAAACTGAAACCTTTAACAAAGAATCACGTGTGCATTAACCACAATTATTGTAGTCAGAATGCAAACAAAAAACACACACTGATAAATATATGCATTGTCTTTGAAACTGATTGGTCCACACCAGAGACAGCTTTCTTTTGAGCCTCGTCTCCAACGGTGTTAGACCAGAGGACGCCAAAAGGCGTACAGCCCAAAGACTATGCATACAGCACGAAGGCGGCCGGGCGTGGTGCTGGCCACCCACCTCATGCGCAGTGTGTCCTCACCCAAGGCGACTCATCTTTCTCAACAGTAGATATGAGCTCCATAATTTGCATTATTTGCGTAATTTTAGCTTTTCATTAAAATATAATTCTCGGCATCCAATGTTTTCCCTATGCCTTATAAGTTCATAGCAAACAACACGTACTGATTGGACAGAATGCTATACGTTTCTTTTCCTTGTGTATGTGTTGTATGTATGTTGAACTCGTCGGCTGTATGTACTTTTCCGACATGTATCATGTGACATGTATGATCTGACATGTATGATCGGACATGTATGATCTGACATGTATCATGTGACGTGTATGATCTGACATGTGACGTGTATGATCTGACATGTGACATGTATGATCTGACATGTATGATCTGACATGTATCATGTGACGTGTATGATCTGACATGTATGCTGAGTTCTTATTGTTATACTTTTGTTCCCTCCATCGGACCGGTCTCTGATGGGGCCTGTAGACATTAGACTGCCAGACCCAGTCTCTGATGGGGGTATTCAGACCACGTGTGGACAAACTGGTCTACACATAAAGTCTTCCGACAAGAAGGCGATTCATTTAAAATTCAAAATGTGTGGATGTCTTTGAACTTCGTTCGCGCCGTACGTAGCCAACCGCGCTAATCGGAGGTGCAGGCGGGGGGGGGGGACAAGCTAAACGCGAAACAGTTCTTATGAAATGAGTTTCAAATTGAGATGTAAAAGTTCACAGCTCCCAAAGGCGTCCTCATATCGCAAGAGAGCCCGCGCAAGTTAAGCGACACGATGATTGCACAACAGCAGGAGGGGCAAATGGTTGTGTGTGTGTGTGTGGTGGGGGGAGGCGGGGCAAATGTGATTGAAGCCGGACTCAGCCCGTTGAGAGTCAATCGAGAGCGGTATCAACAAACACGGCGAAGAGTTCGAACCGCACCCACAATCGAGAGTGGTGGGGGGGGGGAAGCCCAGCGGATTGAAAAGTGGGAGCCGGACCTGGAGAGAGCTGGGAAACTTTTGACTTTTAAACAACTTTTATTGCCGCCAGCAGCAACAGCACTGGAGGCGATTTCGATATGAAATACACAAAAGTCACCAGCAAACAAATGAAAATAAACGCTACAAATCCACGCGCTGTGGCGCTAAAAGGACCGCGCACAGCACGAAAGAGCTGGGAGAGAGCGGCGTTAAGCTGGGAGTGGAGGGGCCATCGAGCCAACAAGTTTGCGTCGTCGCGAATGTTGGTCACGGACGAGTCCCATTGACCCGTTGACGAATCGAGCAGCAGCAGCAGCGAGCGGCGGCGGTAGCGGCCGCACCACAGCGCTCCGTCACCGCTGCGCTTGGGTTATCCTGCGAGCATCAGCAGAGCATCAGTCCGTGGGAAGAGCGATACGCTCGTAACCACCACCACCACCACCCCCTTGCGATGAGATGCTAATAAACCCGCAACCACACAGCGCGCGTGGCTCCCTACGTGTCACCCCGTGTTGACAGCCTCTTTGTCAATACATCCACTGCTGGATGAGGGCCTTCCTCCGCACCGTGTCGCGGATTACTTGAGCACGGAATTCTTCGCCCGCGCGAGTCGGTGAGGGGCTTGGTACCAAGGTTGTGGGGTGGGAGGAGAGGCGAGGGGGCATAGACGTGGAGCGTAGTGCAGTACAACACTGGGTTTCGCTGCGTTGTCCCGCGCCGTGCAGTGTTCCGTTACGGTTGACCATTTTTTTTCTCCATTATCAATTCATAGCCCTGAAAGAACAGCGGCACGCGTGAACGGAGACATTTCACTTGACGTATTTATCGTGATTAAAACATAGCCTATTCACTATTAATGTGCATAGCCCTCAAAGGACTACCTACCATAAGCTAGCCCATACGCAAAGCAACCACGGCAGGATGATTCGCGACGAAGAGTTGTGTGGTCCTCCGTATTCAAACTGGAGCTGAACTATGTTTTTTAAAATTAATTTTACCAGGCAAAGCCCACTGAGCTATGTTTCACAAGTGATCGCTCAGCACAGCTGCGTAGTATCACGTGGAAATGTAGAGCAGCCGAGTACTCGTAACGCGTGCTCTTTATTCACGCGGAGGGGAAAACAACCCGCGGACCCGGAGAAAAATCCACGAGACCACGGGGAGAGAGAGAGAGAGAGAACACGCAAACACCAAATCGACAGCAGGAGCCGGGATCGAACCTCCTGTATACCAGGCGATGGAGTTAACATATTCTAGTCATCGTGGCGCCATTTGAGAGAATGCCCCACCTAGGTAGCTGCGTGGATTTCGATTCGACGTTTGCGGTGAGCGGAGCCAGCGTTGATATCAAACGCAGGCAGCCGCCCACGGAGGACGGCGACCGTGCAGTTTCTCCAGCGAGTTTCAGGGTCCTTCGTTCATAATTAATTTGCTTCGGTTTGGCTGTCGGAGCCATTGGCGTTAAGCGCTGAATTCGCAGAATCGTAGAGGCGATTTGGTGTGGCTTCGGCCACGGTGGCTTTGAGATGTTAACTGCCTCGCCCTGGTATACAGAAGGTCGTGGGATCGATCGAGGCCCTGGTGCATGCTGTATATTTTGTGGCCAGGTGGCTTCTGAAAAAAAAGAGATAGATATCTCAGCGGGCTTCACCTGGTAAATATAATATTTTAGTTTATGTAACCAGCAGATTCCTGTCTTTTTTGACTAGCTATCACGAAAAATTGGATTTCTAATTTTGTTTCTTTACTGCATGTGCTCGCGATTTAAATTCATGCACATCACGATTAAATGCCCGGAGCATCGTTTCTATATAAACCGACTTGATCGTGACTGACCAATGATGATTATGATAATGGACACGATACAACACTAGTCGAGCAGCTGTCTTCAGTGAAGCTGGGCCCTGGCTCTGCCAGTAGCTTTGCTAATGAATTGGCCAACAACAACCTGAATTACTCAATATATAGAGGACTGCAGAACATGGGTAATCGTTGGGAGCCGGCTTCACCGCAATTAGAAGTTGCGAATTATAATCGTGACCCTGGGGGCCGAGTGGCCGGGTTGCCGGGTGTCTGATGCCGTGCATTGTTGGGACATCCTCGACAGGATGGGAGGGCCGTCGATGGGCAAGCGGAGGCCGTTCACCGACGCCTTGCTCCTCTCTCTGCTCGGGTTGATCTGCCTGCAGCTTGCGCCAGCGTCCGCGCGGGTCCGAGCTCCAACAGGTAACGGGTTCCGCGCACGCAACACACGCAACACACGCAACACACGCAACACACGCAACACAAAGATCCCCTGTATAGCCTCAACAGACTGCTGGGGCAAGTGCTGTTAGCGAGCAGCACCTATGAAGGCCGGCACGGCACACGAGGGGGTGGGTGGCCAACACCACGCCCGTCCGCCTTTGTCTCCCCAGTGGCGATGTTTACACATCGCACCAGGTACTCATTTGAGGCTGAGTCGACCTAGGGGAGGCCCAGGACCGGTTCAGATAATCGTCACCGATGTTGGCCGTGAGCGGGAATCGAACCCGGGTCGCCAGGTTTGTAGCGCAGCGCGCTAACCGCTGCACCACCGCTCCCCATTAAGCCTGTGAAGGCTACGTGCAACACACACACGCGCGCGTTTAACACACACACACACACACGTGCAACACACACGCGCAAATTACAAAGATCATCCCCCCCACGTCGCCTTCACAGGCTTAGCACGGTTGGCTACGTAATGGTGCGAAAGAAGTCCAACGTAGAGGATATACAAGTAGGGCACACGAGGGGGTGGGTGGCCAGCACCACGCTCGGCCGCCTTCGTCTCCCTGAGTGGCGATGTTTACACGGCGCACCAACTTCACACACCGCATGTACACGAAGACAAAGATCCCCCGTATAGCCTTCTCTGACTATTGGGACAAGTGCTGTTTGCGATTAGTACCTCTGAATGTCGACACGGCACACGAGGGTGGAGAGGGGGGGGGCAGCATCACGCTCAGCCTCACGCTCACGTGGCACTGACCTCGTTGGCTGTGTGTACTTTTCCCGACATCATGTGACGTGTATGATCTGACATGTATGCTGAGGTCTTGTTGTTGTATTTTTGTTTCCCCGATCAGACCGGTCTCTGATGGGGCCTGTAGACATGAGACTACCAGACCCAGTCTCTGATTGGGGGTATTGCAGACCACGCGTGGACAAACTGGTCTTCCGACAAGAAGGCGATTCATATAAAATTCTAAACGTGTGGATTTTGTTGAACTTCGTTCGCACCGTACGTAGCCAGCCGCGCTAATCGGAGGTCGGGGGGGGGGGTGGAATAACAAACTAAGCACAAAAAGCGGTTTTAAAGAAATGAGTTTTCAATCTTGATTCAGATGTGTGTGCGTACATCCGGTGGCTTCCTCATATCGGAAGCAAGATTTGTGTTATATGAATATGTTGCTACATCCTTTACAATGGCACACTGCGCAACTACATTACACCACCACCATGCAACTACATTACACCACCACCATACAACTACATTACACCACCACCATGCAACTTACATGGCATGGTGGCGGTGCTCTTTGCGAGGAGTTATAAAGCCGTGGGTGGCTTTGTATAGCCACAAACTGCGAGGCAAGTGCCATGTCGCGTGTTGCATTCAGAATTGAATATATCTCATCCTTCACAGTGAATGACTGTGAACAGCCCACCGTGGCGGTAGATGTGACAGATAAACCCATACTCCGTCTCGCTGACTGCAAAGTACATGCATACTACGTGAAGCATGTGGTATAAATATGGATTCGATGTACTCTCTGTGTGTGTGTTTGCTCGTGCGTACATCTTTGTGTGAGCGACAGTGCAGCGGTTAGCGCGCTGCTGCTACAAACTTGGTGACTGGACTTCGATCCCAGCTCACGGGCAACACCAGTGATGATTTTCTGAACCGGTTCGGGGCCTCCTCTAGGTCGACTCAGCCTCAAATGGGTACCTGGTGCGGTGTGTAAACATCGTCACTGGGGAGACAAAGGCGGCCGTGCGTGGTGCTGGCCACCCACCCTCTCGTGTGCCGTGCCGGCCTTCATAGGTGCTCACTAACAGCACTTGCCCCAACAGGCTATATGGTGGATTTTGTCTTTGTGCTTTTCATGAGGAGTGGTAGTGTAGTGGCTATAGAGCACTGCAACCAATTGGCGGCCTGAATTAGATTCCATCAGTGGCAGATATTGCTTGGATGAGTGGCCACCAACAAAATCATACATCAGCTACCATTCTTTATCTTGACCAAAGTTAAAGAAATCTTGACCAAAGCTAAAGAAATCTGAGATGCGTAGTTTGCGAGATGGAATCCGATTTAAGGCAATTTATTTGCCTACTTTGCGGATATTAAAACGTGATTGTCAAAATTAGCATTTCAATAAGTGTTTGGGGGTGCATCCTTGGCTCGAATGTCCTGGGCTAAAATTCCAGCACAGGTCGATGCAATCTAAGCGGCGGTCTCAATGCCCCTAACCTGGCAAATTAAATAAAAAAAGACCTTTTATTTTATAGAGGTTGGACAATCCTTGTTTAAACGAGTGGAAAAGTGGATTGACTGACAGAGAGACAAAATAGCCCCATTCGTGCACTGCCATTGCTATGGCTTCTCAGTTATAGAATCTGTGCGTGAGTTCGAGAGAAGGAGAGAATGGACGCTTCATCGACACGCAGGTCCCACATCCCCTTTCCCTGCGTACGGAACGGCCCATTTCACTGGACTTTTGTGCATTTTGTATGAGTCGTCGCAGTGTTTAATATTCATCGCTGCTTCCTTTGACAACCTTTAGTAGACTTGTCGCACAAATACCCGAAGTAAAGCTTTTTCGCACGAAAATAACGCCTCGTGGCATTGCGCCAAAATAGTTATTATAATAAAGGTGTGAAAAGCAGCCTTAATGAATGTGAATTTCTCGTCGTGCTGATGGAAAATATTTCCCTCTGATAACGTATATTGTTGGTTTTCCCGACTCTCACGCCTGCTGTATATTTGGAGTTTGCATGTTCTCTATCCTCGTGGTCAAGTGGATTTTTGTCCAGGTCCTCCAGTTTTCCCCTCCACATTTAGAATCAACGTGCGATTGGAGTATTTGGCTGTTATACATTTCCACGTGGTAAGCCACTTCGTTGAGCTATCATTTGTGGCCAGGTCGCTTCTGAAAAAAATAACTTTTTAGCTCAGTGGGCCTTACCTGGTAAAATGTAAAAAAATATATAATTGTATGTATATATTTAAATTGAGACCTACGTAAAATGTAGCGCGTCAACAAATAACATAGAAAGGGAGATTTACAAACAAAGCCTTGCGTCCCAACTCTTCCTGCCTCTCCGACCTCTCTATGTGCTGTGGAGAAGTGCCGTTGTATGTATGTATGCTGAACTTCTTTCGCACAGTACGTAGCCAACCGCAGTAATCCGAGTGGCCACCTTCTAAAGCCGCGTTATCGATGAACGTCTCAACGTTTTTTTTCTGTTTATCTTTTTGGTTTTCTTTCACAGTGGCCGTAACGGTGGTGCTTTTTTTTTCAAGAAGACCTCAGTCGTGAAATTCACGGTTGCTCTGAATAGGAAAACATAGAATAGCCCAAGTGGAAATTATTAAAAAGGGCACTCCAGTCTCAGGAGAGGTGAACTTTAAGCAGGTTGTGAAGAGATTGTTCCCCTTTGTTCCTCACCCACAAGAGGCAAAACCGTTCCTGGGATCCGGCAAGGCAAAAGTCAAATAGCATGTAATGAAAAAAATATACAAAACCGGGCATGTCACTTAGGGAAAGGTGCAATGGATCTGAATGCAAAGGCAGAGAGGTGAGTTGGAAGCAGGGCAAATGCAATCCTCTTAGTATTCGCAAGAAAGATAAACCGATCTTGGCACCGCAATCCCACGGCACAAAGGGTGAGGCAAAATCACGGGGGGCGAGAGACTCCGCATGAGCGTGTTCAGCCCAAGTCGCGCGCCTACCTGGCCCAACATGGTCGCCGTGCGTTTTCCTCTCAGGGCAAAGAGACAACGGTGGGGCATCGGTGGCAAAGAAAGATTGCCAAAGTCGAATATTTTAAATAAAAAAATGTGTAGTGGGTTGCGTGGTGGGTCGTGTGGTGAATTGCGTTGGCACAGTGGTTTTGGTGCACAGCGCTATGAACCCGGCATCTCGGGGTTTGATTTCCAGCCATGGTTAACGTCACCGCAACACCTCCGATTAGCACGGTTGGCAACGTACGGTGCGAAAGAAGTTCAACATATCACATACGTACATAGACACACAGAGACCCATAGTTTGTTCACCTTCCCCCGCTCATCTGATTAGCACGGTTGTCTACGTACGGTGTGAAAGAAGTTCAACATGGATATTTTGATCCCATACGTGCCACGATTTACAATGCCCCTTCCAAAACCTACAGTGGCATGAACATGAGATAATTTGAAATTAATTATGTTTTCTAAGGACAAACTGCATGACCAAACCATTTTCATATTTATTTGGGACACATTTACCACCACCCCCCCCCCCTTTCTCACCCCTCCCCCCACCGAGTTGCGCACTGTTGTATCTGATTTTCATGAAAAAAACCGTAAGCAAAATATAAACGCATACATCTTCATCTTCATATATATAAAAGGCAAAATTGTGAATATGTGTGTCTGTTCAAATTGTTTAGCGTACTTCCCGACATGCAACAAACTTGAAATTAGCCATGTGGGTACTTTCCAGACTGTACACCATGCAAAAATTATTAAAATACACTTTAGTGGTTTTTTTTGGGGGGGGGAGCTCAATAATGCATACATTTTTTGCACGGCAAGTGAGCTGTGACGTCACATCTGTCATGTGACCCGCGCATGTGGAAGCGTAACGCATTGTAGTGTAGTGGTTAGCGCGCTGCGCTACGAACCCGGCGACACGAGGTCGATTCCCGCTTACGGCCACCACCGGTGACGATTATTTTAAACGCTCCTGGGCCTCCCCTAGGTCGACTCAGCCTCAAACGACTTATTGGTGTGGTGTGTGAACATCGCCACGGGAACTTGGATCCAAGTTCCCGGGCGAAGCCGGGTAGTAAAGCTAGTATATGTATAAATAAATGTGGCTCTCTGATCAATCAAATGTCACTGCTTGCACACCAGGACACGAAGCGGTGGCATGTGCTCTGTTAAGGATGCAGTAAAACCCGCAGAATTAATAAATATTACTATATAACGCAGAGCAGCA